TCCATTACAATCCATTCATTTCACATGATTTTAAGCATACTTCTTGTGCTGTTTAGTTTTTTCTGCAGAATGAATTACTAAAATTTCGTGGCTTGCAAACCAAATTCAGACAAACCCCAAAGGTATGCATTCCATATACAATCAATCCTCTCGCGACTTTAATTGGCTAACCCGAATCAGACCAATCAGCAAACGCCAACTATTTTTAGAACATGCACTATTTGCAATGCGCAAAGGAGAAGAGGAGCACGCATAAAGCACCTTAATATTTCTGATCATATACCTGCTCCTAAAGCTTTCCACAATACTACAACAGTGTGACAGTATTTATCAAAATTGAACCGACCTCATCGTTTCGCTGTTGCGTCTCGCTCTCAGCACGTTTATTTCGCTTCACCAGTTCCGCGATCTCCTGATTTAAGGAGACTACCTCCTGATGCAACAAACGGTTCTCCACCACTGCGTCTGTAGAAGTGCTCGGCACGGACACTTGGGGTTGCGGCTGCAGCGGCTGCTTTGGTGGTGGCGCAGGAAGTGATGTCATCAGCTCGGTGACAGCCTGTTCCATGGGAGCGGGATTGTTGAGGAACTCAAATAGCTGGACGTCTGTGGTGTCGACGATGCAATGATTAGATACAGTTCCTTCGCTATAGAATGTAACGAAAATAATCACAAAATGTCAACTCTGGGCTACTCAAAAATAACGTTAGAGACGACAACTGCAGCAGCCCCAGCGTCGCATGACTCACCTGTCAACACTGATAACGCTGGAGACTAGTAGTTGAATAAGGGATTAATCCGCAAACTCCTCTCTATCCTAAAACGCTGCCTTGGTAGCAGTGGATACTGTACCGATAGGGCGTGGCTAAATTAACCGGCGGAGACCCAAAGGAGGATGAATAATGAAATTCGACTGTAGACAAGAGATAGTTGAGACCTGTGTGGTAGCAGCCAGTAGAGCAAGCGGGAGGAAATTATTTGCTATCCCAGCTTCAATTTACACGCATGGCAAAACTGCGCCCAAACCAATGTGGCAAAGCTAGGGTCACAAGAAACACGATCTACTGTGCAACAACCGATGGAAGTCTGGAGAGCCAAACAGCAATAGGATTGGTTGAAAGGAATAATGACAACCCATCATCACATAGCAAAGCGTGTCGTCTAATCACCACATTCCTTGTGTGGAGCGATCAACAAAAATAAGATCGAAACAACACACATACGGTGTTACCGGTGAAACAACATCGAGATTGGCCTTTTCAGCGAGCAATGGAGGTGTTGGCTCCATTTGAGAGGAAATTGAAGATTGCACAATCGTCAATTCAGTTGGCTGGAGAAAGTTAGCCACACGGCTGTCCAAGGAATTCAAAAGGTAATTGCCTTTTTCAGCCCAGTCTGTCATCCACGAAGCCATTGGGCCTGCAAACGTAGCAAAAGTGAAGGCCCCTCCCCACCTCACAAACAGGCATCAAGAACTAGCGTGGTGCAGGAAAGTATTTATTGTTACTGAAAAAAAACCAAGCATGAAGTTATCACAAAGGTAATCGAGAACCAGAAAGGTGAACAGGACGGATCGTTTTATGCAAAAGTGAGGCAATCTGTGCTTGTTTGTGCTGGTAGCAAAATTCATTTCATAGCCTGGTTGGCCATCTGTTTTGCTACCATGCCAAAGCCGGGTTGAGGAATGACCGGGGTGGAGGAAGGCTTGGCGGGTTTGCTACGCAAAAACAAACTCCAGTTACTAATCTGAAAGTTAAAAGTTTTTCCTCTCCCCTTTCCTGGAAGCATACAAAATAATAAAAAATGTA